TAATATATATGGATATTTTAACTGGGTCCATTGCTAAATTTTTTATTTGCTAAACAAATTCCATTGCTAACATTTGCGACTGTTAATTCGAAAAAAAAAATCTCCAAATAATCATTGATCCAAGACTGGAATAGCGACGGTTGGGTTGGATCAGCCGATCTCCAAACAATCTCCAAATAATCTTATTATCTTTTGAACTTCTTATCTTATTATATATGAGTATATAAAAGAGGATGCAATCGACGAGAATGTGACACGTAGAAAATTATAATTCACAACAGCGTAACTTGTATATAATATTAATCAGATGATGATATGTGTTAAAAATTAAAATTAATTAAAAAGTAAAATTAAAAATGGAAACTAACAAAAATAATTGTCAAATAACTAAAAAAATAATTAAAAAAAACTTTTTTTATAATCCAAACTAATTAGAAAAAAAAAGAAATTTTATAATAGCCTAAACCAATTATATAAAATATTTAGACTAAAAATAGAGAGAATATAAACAGTAAAAACAAAAAGTAGAGAGGGCATATACAGAAATTTTCATTGAAATATTTTTTATCGCGAATGATAAAACAAAAGAGATTATATAAATTGAAAAAAAAAAGAAACGATATGCTGATTTCAATTTAATAGTTTTAGATATGTAGAACCATGCCAATTGAAAAAAAAAATCTAAAGAATATTAATTTTATCAACAAAGTTATAGAATATCACAAAGAAAATGGAGATCTTCTATGTATGACAATATTAATACTTTTCAATGCTAAAATGAATTTTTATTATAAAGATTAAAGAGTGTTTAAGATTTGGCGAGTATAGATCTTTATGAGAAAGAAACAGAAGTTTGATACAATTATTTGTAAAGTATTTTTGTAGGCTTTTTAGGACAATTTTAATCTGAAACTTATTTTTTCTGATTCAAATCTACAATATTTGAATTGTTTTTATAGTTTTATTACATAACTAATATATATTCAAAATGGATAAAAGTATTATTTCTCTTTTTTTGTTATTTAGAATATGACTAGAATTACACTTATATATATATATATTTTTTTTTTGGATCTGCACGATATGAATTAAGACATAAAAACTAAGATATAAATTGATTCTAATGGTTTAAGACCCTAACTTAAATAGTGAGATTTCAAAAAAAAATTGGTAATTCAGTTGGTAACTAATTAAAACTTAAAAACTTAAATTGGTATTTTTAGTTAGAATATGCAAACATATATAATTTCTTTTTAGGAAGAAACAACCACAAACCAAACTTC